ACTATTGATTCCATTTCTCTAAAGAACCTGACCAATTATAATACAATACAATTCCTCTGGGTTTTTTTTTTTTTCATTTGTATATTTTTGTTCTTGTTGTTATTGTTAAGTCAGGGTCATGCTACACTGCCCACACTGGCCTCAAACTTGTCTCAGCTTCCCAAGTTGCTACAATCACAAATGCACAAATCCCTGTGTTTTATTTGATTGTTTTGTTTTTGTTTGTTCCTTTGTTTGTTTGTTTGTTTTTACCACTCAGGAAATGGCAGTCTGACAGGACCCATTCTTCTCCATTATATCACCTAGTAAAATTACCCCAGAACTCAGTCTAGACTGAGGAGCTAGGGTGGGACACGAAGGTTATAAGCAGTGAAACATTATAATCACAAGCCAGGCATCCCGGAAACTCTTTATAACACTGGTATCACATATGTACCCACAACCTTGATGTGCCCAAGTGATATAGGCACACCCTTCCCCTGATCTCCTGATTCAGTTATTTCAGGTTAAAACAAACAAACAAACAGATATTCCTACTAAATCAACACTTGAAGATTTTGAAAAAGAAAGAGGAAAACTAGTTGGTAAAGCATGGAAAACTAAGAAATAAAAAGAAAAATAAAAAAGGATTAGTGTCACCTAGGTCTCCCTGTATGTATGGTGGCTCATGCCTGTAATCCCAGTACTCTAGGAAGCTGAGGCAGGGGGACTGGAAGTTTGAACTCAGACTGTGCAATTCAGCAACAAGACCCTGACTCAGAATTTTTTCTAAAAAAAAACTAAAACGGGATGATGTGGCTTAGTGCAGAGGCCCTGGTTAAAACCCCAGCATCAAAAGAAAAAAAGAAAAAAGTTTGCATAATCAAAGAATAGCCTTTGCTTTGTCTGTGCTGTTTAAATACTAATTTGTTCACTCCCATGATCGTTATTAACAACTATTTATTTTATGCCTTATATAGTACTTTCTTTTTTTTATAAAAGTTTACTCTTAAATATATAACAAGGCTCTAAGACAACACTTCATTCTAGCTACAGGTAGCAAAAGATGTTACAGTGATAAGTCCAGAGAGTTAAATAGAAATAGAATCAAAGGTCACCATGTACTCAGGCACAAAAAAGAGCTTGTTTTTGTATAAGAGTTCTTAATTCTACCTGTAGCCAGGAGCCCTTTTCACAGTCTTTGTCTTTAATGCCAAATTTTTTCAACTACTCTTTGTGTTTCTGCTTGAAAGCCTAACCTCATTCATTCCTCAGCCTATGGATTGGCCTGTGGCAGGGGCTTCTTCTTGTCACTTTTTTGGCTGGACATGTTGCCTGCCACCACTTCCTCAAACCCTCCTCCTAAACTGAAAATGGAAAAACCCTTATACATTCCACAGGCTTGTCTAAGTACCAGAAACTGTCATGTAGCTGCAGGGAAACATACTAAATAAGTGTGTAGGATTAAAAAAGGTCAACTAACTTGCCCTAAAGAAGCCAAGGTTTCACAGGAGACATGCCATTTCAGCTGAGACAGAAGGATGAATTTAACTAATGAAAAAGAGAGATGGCATTCAGAATTTCTGAAACAGTAAAATTCAATGGAGTCTGTGTTCTATTTTGCTAAATAAAAGAGCAAATGTATAGGAGTGGAGATGGGAGGTTTTAGCAGGACACAAAGCTGAAAAGGCCAGCTGGAGTTATGTGGTGAAGAACAGTGGATTTCATGACAAGTAGTTTGGCCTTTATCCTACGAGCAATCAAAGTTATGAAGGATTTCTAAGGAGAAGAAGAACAAATCCATGCGCTGTCTTTTTACAGACAATACTGTAAAAAAAGTCTTGTCCTTTACGTGCATATAGGACAGTTGGAAGTAGCATGGTCACCTAAGCATATATAACCACAAATTAAGAAACAACTGTAAAGTTTGATAAAAATTAAAACTGAGTCTTAACTACAAATTTATTATGAAAAGACATAAAGGCATTTCATGTACTATACTAAAAAATTTAAGTCGAGTTTATATGCAGTCCCAACTAAAACTCTATGATGCAGAAACTGGCAACTAGTATAATTATGCAATAAATACATACATATGTGGTATTTCTTCTCAACAAAATGAAGTTCAATTGGAATTGAATCGTTGTTATTATTATGGTATATACATATGTGAGAATTTGTGCCCACAAGTATAAACTAAATACAAACCAGAAGGCAAAAGTAGGCTGGGTAAAATCAAACAGATTTTGCAAATCACCAAAAAATGGAAAAGGAACAAGCCTTAAATTATGTTTCTAAAAAGTGTAGTGACCAAAAAAGAAACCACAACAACAAATCCCTTAATTAGGAATACATCATTTGTGCCCTTCTCTTTCATTTCCTTTTCTGCTGGCATTTTTCAATGCTTTTTCAGCATTCCCAAAGAATATTTTGAATCTATTCCAATAGTTCACCTTTCCACAATTTTACTTTAGCAAAAGGACACTTCAAATAGTTCTATAGAAAATCCCAGTATATAAAACAGAGGAAGCCGGGCGTGGTGGCGCAAGCCATAATCCCAGCACTCAGGAGGCTGAGGCAGGATGATCGCTGTGAGTTCGAGGCCAATCTGGGCTACACAGTGAGTTCCAGGTCAATTTCAACTACACACTGAGATCCTGTCTCAAAAAACAAATAAACAAAACAAACAAACAAAAAAAACAGACTCGAGCGAAGAGCTCCAGGTAAAAGAGGGCAGGGAAACAGGGAGTCCTAGAGAATCTAACAGCCTCCACTTCATCCTTCCCTGTGGGCTAACTCCCAAAAAGACATTTAATTGTCCTCGGTGAAGTATGAAATACATTGGTCTTGACCAAGCTCTCAATTTAAAACTAGGCCCTACAGAGTTAAAGGAGTTGGTTGGGGTACCTTTGCTAAAATTAAAATATTTCTCTTCTTCTTAAACCCAAATTTAAATGTCTGGGTTAAAAATTATTCCTTATAAGTTATTCTACAAATCATGCCATGTGTCTAACTCAAATTCCTATTCAAAATTCACAAAGGTCAGTAGCCATGTATTTAATAAGTCCTCTCCTCTCATTTGGCCATCACTACACCCATCAGGAAATCAAGAAACTAAGCTCTGAGAGACATACTGTAACCTGTCCACCACAAAACTTAAGAGGGTGGAGGACTCCTAAAGCCAAGATCAGACCTTGCACTTTCCTATTCCAATGTTTTCTAAATGTTTACCTATCTTTACACAGGCTCCAAGCAATGTAAAACTGTAAAGGTTCCCTGTCATTTTCACATAGATAGGGGGGACTGAAGTGAGGGCGAGGAGTGTTTAAATGACTGTCACGGCCAATTAGAGAAGAGCAGAAATCAAAAGTATGGAGCCTTGGCCTCCAGACCTATGAGAAAATAAATTTCTTAAGGAAAGACTATGAACGAGCACGGAGCCAGGACTACTAGGAAATAATTGGCAATGGAAGAATAAATTTTAAACTTGGGACCGCCCTCAGGAAAGCGTCTGTAGGCATCAGGGAAGACAGGTCCTAGGCATTAGGGAGTCTGAATCTCGAGGTGAGTTCCTATGCCGGAGCGCTATGGGGTAAGGGGTCCTGGCGGTTGGGACCTGGGACCTCGAAGCCCCCACCCACCCACCGTACCCCTTACCTTCTGTTGGAAGTAAAGAACTGAGTAGTTGAGGACTACTGCGGGTCGGGATGCGGGGCTGTTTAAATGTAGGCTGCCCAGGGCTCTCAGTGACGGCCGGAGGGCTATGGCGATCCCGGGAAGCAGGAGAGCCAGACGCAAGAGGGGTGGTCGGTCCATGGCTTCGGCTGGCGGCTGCAGAGCCCGGGGAGGGCCCGAGCTCCACCGCAGACGCGCTCAGCCTAAACCGGCCCAACCCCCAGCTCCGCCCGCGGCCGACGAGCTCCTCCCCGGGAAACCCCTCGCCAGCCCTCTCAGACTCGCGCCCGGTCCTCCACCTCTCACTCGTGCCGTGCCCTCCTTCGGGCCACTCCACTAGGGTCACACCGCGAGTCGGCCCTCGCCACGCCACGGCCTCGCTGCCTATCCTACCCTTCCTGACCTCAGCGTCCCCCAAGCCCACTTCCCCTCCACATCAAGCTGCCTTTATGGTCACAAAACGTGCCAGACCGTGCCCATTCAGCTCAGTGGCACTGCCAACACCCCCCGCGCTCTACAGATCCCACAGTAACAGCTACCAGGACAACGTATTGACCATGCTGCCAGTGTGGATATCGCTGGGCTCGATGGCACACACGCCACCTCACCTAACAACCTTGACGGCAATCCTGGGCCTCCCGCGTGTCTGGTGTTCTCCGGAGATGAGGAGGCGGCTCAGAGAGGCGGGGATTTGCATCTTGAAACCCAAGGAGCAGGAAGAGGGCACGGCTTCGCAGACTGCGCTCCTTGCACCTTACCTACATTATGCCAGCCTACCCAGCCCTATGCAACTTGGTTTTGGGGTCGCCTCAAACCTTTACGGTGCCCCCACAACCCACCCTTCGGGAGGTGGCCTCCTTCCCGGCCCTCCTTGCGGGTTACGCCCCTTTCCTCTGCCGCACAGGTAACCCCTGTAGACCCTACCCCTGCCTCCACCCTGGGCGGCCCTATTCCCTCTCCAACAGCGCCCTCTCCTGTGTCCCCGACTACGCCAACCCCTTCCCCTGCTTCCACGCCTTCGTCGCCCGCCAGACCCCGGCCCGAGGGGCGTGGCTACCGCTGCCACGCCTTCCCGCCCTCTGGAAATCCAGCTGGCTCAGCGCCGCCCGGAAACCAACTTTACAGACTCTTTCTCTCCCAACGCCCGCCCCCCGTTGGAAGAAGATGGTCGCTCCCAAACCCTGGGGATTCCGTGCTAATCTCTGCGCTGCCTTTTCTGATTGGTTCTGAGGAACCAAAGTCAGGGCGTCACTTCCGAGGGAAGTGGGCGCGGGAGATTCGATTGGAGGGTGCTTGGTGAGCCGCTGCGCCGAGCAGGCCTGCGTCACCCGAGCGTTACCTGAGGAGAACCGAAGGCCTTTGCCCAAGGTGAGGAGCTGGGGAGAGCTTGGGGTACACTAGGATGGGGGACTTATAATGAAGCCGTTATCCATCATTATGAGTTGAACTCAAAGTCTAGCATCGTGTGTTTTCAGGATTCTGTGAAGGCCAACTATGAGGACAAAAGAGTAAAAAAAGTAAACCCAGTTAGTCTCAGTGCTATTTGCATTCTTTCGGCGGACTTTTATTGAACGCTTCTGTGCCTTCGCGCCAGATGAGGTGTGAGCTTTTATCTATTTAGGGATTTTGGGTTTTGTTTTGAGACAGGGTCTTGCTATGTAGTTCGGGCTGATCTTGAACTCAACTGCGATGCCCCTTGTCTCAGACTCCCGAGTGCTGGGATTAGAAGCTTGCCCCACGCCCGACGGGGGGAATTCTTGTAACTAGAAATAAACAAGGAGAAAAAGGCTCAATTTTGGCCTCTCTAAAACGCTGCAATACAGACCAGGAAGTGCTGTGAAGAGTGGTTTTTCTAAACTGCTTTGATAGCCCAGAGAGCTTTTTATCTATTTAGGGATTTTGGGTTTTGTTTTGAGACAGGGTCTTGCTATGTAGTTCGGGCTGGTCTTGAACTCAACTGCGATGCCCCTTGTCTCAGACTCCCGAGTGCTGGGATTAGAAGCTTGCACCACGCCCGACGGGGGGAATTCTTGTAACTAGAAATAAACAAGGAGGAAAAGGCTCAATTTTGGCCTCAAAACGCTGCAATGCAGACCAGGAAGTGCTGTGAAGAGTGGTTTTTCTAAACTGCTTTGATAGCCCAGAGAGCAAATGCTTAACAGTGATTTCTGCAAACCAGAGACTTGAAGGTTTTCTGGATTCCTTTTTCATCCCCCACATCTGTATTTCATATCCATTTCCTTTTCTGCACTGGTAACTTTAGTTGGACTCTATGACTGTTGCATAACTGTGACAGTAGCCTCCCATGGTTTCTCATGCTTTTAGTCTTGCATCCTTCCAATCTAATAACCCACATTGCTAGATTGATAAAGTGTAAATTTGACCAAGGCACACCCATTTCAACTCCTCTACTGGTAACTTTAGTTGGACTCTATGACTGTTGCATAACTGTGACAGTAGCCTCCCATGGTTTCTCCTGCTTTTAGTCTTGCATCCTTCCAATCTAATACCCACATTGCTAGATTGATGAAGTGTAAATTTGACCAAGGCACACCCATTTCAACTCCTACCTTTCAACTGCACCTATTTCCACTCAGGTTTAAGTCCAAACTACTTCATATAGCTTATAGGCTCCTTGTCTGTCTTTACCTGCCTCTCCAGCTCCCGTGGTTTCTCACACACTAGCCCTAGTCACCAGCCATATAGACTGGCTTCCCCTCTCCCCGTCTGGTGCTGGCTTTTGAAACCAGGGCCTCATACATGCTAGGCAGGGTACCCACGGAGGTATCCACCCAGCCCCAGAATGTCTTGTGTTCTTTCATATGCACCACTCACTCTCCTAGCTTCATCCCTAGCCTGGCTTGTTCTTACTCATTCCTTATTTCTGTTTGCAAGTCCTTTTTAAAACCAGACAGCCTTTCCTGACTCTGCAAGACTTGTCCATAGAGCGTAGTAATTTTCAGAATGTCTTGTGTTCTTTCGAATGCACCACTCACTCTCCTAACTTCATCCCTAGCCTGGCTTGTTCTTACTCATTCCTTATTTCTGTTTGCAAGTCCTTTTTAAAACCAGACAGCCTTTCCTGACTCTGCAAGACTTGTCCATAGAGCATGTAATAATTTTTTCACCCTGCAGATAGTTCTTAAGTGCCTCCTCTGTCAAGAATCCCAAGTATTGAGTTATAATGGAGAACAAGATTGGTTCCTATCCCAAGAGGAAGATACCTTTAATCAGTGGGACTTAAGAAAGACTAACAGAACTGTGGAATTTAGGATGGCCTAGGAAGTCTTCTCTGAGTTGATATTTAATTTTCTTCCTCCCAGTTTTGGAGGTTGAAACCAAAGCCTTCACAGTGAATTCATATCTCTAGCCTTTAGTTAAAGTAGCAAGGCAGGGCCAGGGACTTAGCTCAGTGGTTCTGCCTCCGCCTGCCTTGAAAGCTTGCAAGGTCCCGAGTTCATTCCCCAGTACCAAAAAAAAAAAAAGCAAGGTAGAATCTCACTAAATTGCCCAGGCTGGCTGAAATCTTCAACTCTTCTCAGATTCCTAGAGTTCTGGGATTATAGGCATGTGCCACCATGCCTAGTTTTGATATTTAAATTGAGGTCTGAAAGTTGAGACTGATGAAGTCTTGAAAGAGAAGAAAAGAACATTCCAAACAGAATGAATAGGATTTGTAAAGGCCCTAAGGCAGGAGAGAGCTTGACAAACTAAGGTATTCAAGAAACAGAGACAAGACCAGTGTAACTGGAATATTTTCAGCAAGGACAGGTTTTATGAGATGCTTGCAAGGGCCCGAGTTCTATCCCCGTACCAAAAAAAAAAGGAAAGCTAGAAAGCTAATACAACAGCATAAGCAAGAGATGATGATCATTTCTACTAATGTGATGCCAGAATATATGGGGGCCAAAAGATGGCTTCTGATGTGCAGTAGACTCAGGGACTTGCTAGAGGGTATGATGTGGCATGTGAGTTTTCTGAGCTTGGTGGCTGATTAGAAAGTAGTACCACTTAGGGAAGTGCAGAAAATTTTGTGGAAAGAAAGAAGCTTGAGAGAAAATTTATAAATTCAGGTTTTATTACTTAATGATCCTTGAGATACCTGTGAGACCCAAATACAGTTGGCTTTCTTTGTACTTCTGTCACCTGTGATGGCTGTATCCCCTATGAATGGCCCATCACCCTTTGGTGTAGAAAGGGCCACTACCTTTTCTCTATAAATTGAACCTCCTCTTTCCATAGATTAACATGTTCCACAAATTTCCACAACAAGCCCTCATAAATAAGGTGCCTCTCTTCCTTTTGAAGGCCCCACTCTTCTCTGTGCACACTTTCAAAGTTTTGCCTAATAAACCAGTTTATGCCTCTCTTTTGTTGTTTTGTTTTTTGTTTTTGAGACAGGGTCTTGCTGTGCAGTTCAGGCTGGCCTTGAACTCACTGTGTGGCCCTTCTGGCCTCAAACTCACTGTTATCCTCCAGCATTAGCCTCCCGAATGCTGGTGTTACAGATATGTGCCACCACACCTGACTTTCTCTTTATGCCTCTTAAAAATAGCAACAAAAAAAAGTACAGTTGGCTGTCAAGCAGTTGCAATATGGAAGTCTAGAGGTTTCATATATTGTTTATACCTTTGTGTTGCTTCATTGATATGCATTGTCTGTCTTGAGCCAACAGATTACAAATTCCTTGAAGAGCCTGTTCTTTCTATCCCCAACTGTGTCCCTTACCATCTATCTCTGTCATAAATGCAATATAAGCGGTGGAGTCAATGGACAAATTGTATCCTGCTGCCTAATATTTTCTAAAGTATTTTACAAGTGTTTCACCTTTCACTGGAGGTTTTCTCTCTTTGCTTTTTGTGTTTGTTGTTTGATTTTTGGTACCGGGAATTGAACTTGGGTCCTTGTGCTTGTGAGGCAGGCTGTGGAACCACTAAGCTAAATCCCCACTTCTTTTTGCTTTTTGTGTTAATGGCAGTAAATTATGTCTTAGAGAATTTTGACTGCTCTTACAAGAGTAAGACAAAGTACATGCCCTTGGAGGAGACCATTAGATAGGATTAAAACAATTCAAAGTAGACACTCTTCCCATAGGAAGGCCTGTTAGCCTGTGAAATAGGAGAGAGCAATAAGGTAGCAAAGATTTTCTTGAAAGGCATGAACAGCTTTTGTTTAGTGGTGGTGTTTATTTGTTTGTTTGTTTGCTTTATGGTGCTGGTGATCAACCCAGGACTTCATGAATGTCAGCAAGTGCTCTGCCACTCAGCCATATCCATAGCTGGTATGAAGAGTTTCACAACTAATGAAGAAACAGTAGTTAGTCATACCTTGTTTTCCTATGTCATTATAACTGAGAACTAATTTTCTAAATGGGTAATTTCATCATCTGGCTAATCTTAAAACATTGTTTCTTAAGTATGATGCTTGAGCAAACAGTACAATGGATTTGAAAGACTGATGACCTAGCTCATAAGGCATGAGTTCCAAACTTGATTCTACCTTCATCCTGACCTTTAGTTGGGTATTTAAATTGAGTGGATCAGATTGTGACATAAAAGCACTTTGAACATGGAAACAGTCGAAATAAGTTATGAATCCAATTGGATTATAAATTGTAGGATAGTATCCATGTCTTACACATGTCTGTCTTCTCTTCCCCATCTACCAATTCACACTAAAAACTTCTTTTAATTTTTTTCTCTCCAGGATCAAAGGAGGAAAAAAGTGGGTTTTCATAGATGGATATAGATATATAGATATAGGTATATCTAGAGATATATAGATACTGATTTTTTTTTTTTTTCCCTATACTGGGGATTGAACTCAGAACCTTATGCTTGCCAGGCAGGTGCTGAGCTACATCCCTGGCCCCTCTCGTAGACTTATTTTTAAGAGTACCATGTGGGGAAGTGTCACACATACTAGGTAAGTGCTCTACCACTGAGCTTTAACCCTAACCCCTATTAAGGTACTTTGTAAAAACTTAATAATGAGAATTTAAACTGAAAGTTCACCCAATAACGGAAAATAATCTATAATGGACTGAAATGAAATCAAGCTTGAGAGTGTAACTTTAACCATATTAGGAACAAGTAATTTATACTTGTCAAACATGCAAATTCTTAAACCCAGAAATCTCTGTTTTATGCCACATGAT